TCACCATCGTCATGATCTTCGCCATTGCTTCATCACTTAGAGTAGTGCTACCTATCTCACAATCACTTTGATAAACTAGGTTAGCACTTAGGGTTTCATCAATTAACTAAAACCAAACTAGAGCTTTCAGGGGGCCAGCTCCTAATCGGCTAAAGCAGATGAACGAAGATGCAGAGAAAGATCAATTTTGAAGTTATCAAGATCAAAAAGAAGATGGAGCCGATGTAGCTTTCAGTGATTGCGATCAAATGTCATCGGCTGGGGAAATGAAGACCATCGGATCAAAATAGTTCGAAGCATGAAAACTCATACTTCGAACTAGGGGGTCTGTGTTTACACCAAAATTTGGTAAGCTTATCCTAGAAAGGAAGAGATCAGCCGATGATGTCAAAAGGAAGAAAGTTTCCTAATTAAGGGATATTTATGAGCCGGCCAGGAAATATTATTTAATAAATTTGAGATAGACATGACGTCCAGGTGCATATCAGGATGAAAGAAATAAGGACACGTATCAAATAAGGAAGCTTCATCAGCAAAGATTCTGCATAAGGGAAATTAGAGTCCATGTATCTTGATATTTCTTTTTGTTATCTAGTCGTATTCGTTTAGGACTCTTATCATCACAGGGTATAAATATAAACCCCCGGCTATTGTATCAAAGACATCAATCTAATCAATCAATACAAGTTACTTTTTCGGCTTTACGCCAACCCTTAGGAGTAGGAATAGTGTAGATCTCGGCGAGTTCTTCAACAAGCAGAGCTGCATCGGTTCGGCCGACCTCTGGCTTGTCTGTAAGTACCATCATGGCTTATACTTTGGTTTGCAAGGTTGCATCGGTTAAGTTCGACCTCTACTGCGACCTCTAGCATAAGATAGTTATCGACTCTTATCTAGTTCAAGTACGGCTGCATCAGTTAAGTTCGACCTCCACTGCTCGAATTAGATTAAGGTCAAGTTATCGGCTCTACCTAAGGGTGGCATCCTTTGGGTAGATTCATTAAGTTACCGATCTTGCTGATGTTCTTATTGTCATTAGTTTTCAGCAACATCAACCTGCCCGATCGAGATTGATCTAGATCGGCCTCATATCCTTTTAGTCCATCGTTTGGTTTATTACAACACGATGTTTCTTACTTTGAGTGACAGGTTATGTTTCATCGGCTGTTCTACTTTGATCTTGATCGTGCATAGTACGCGGTTAAGGCATGTCTGATCTTGAGGAGATTTGCTGGTTAGTTAAATCTGGTCTATAGTTCGCTATTATGGCTGTAACGATCTGGTCGATCCCCACTGATGGCACTTTAGATCGGAGGATGCTAGTTGATAGATTTGTTTTCGATCAGGCGTGATCTTGACTGTTTGCTATGCCAACATCGGCTAAATAGCCGATCGCATATGCTTTAACGCCTACAGTGTGTCAACATGATTCTATTAAATGTGGATAGATCTGTTTACTTTAAAGGTTTGATTTATTATCTTTATCATGGATACCATAGATCCAGTCGAACCCCACTGTTTGAGATAGGACGTTAAGTCTAATGAGTTCATAGATTTGTCCATGTTAATTAGTTGATTGTTCACATACTATAGTCTCTTTTCACCTGAATCGGCTATTTCAACCGATTCGCTTGTGTGCTTTCACACATATAACATGTTTTCAAAAAGCCTGTCAATGTATAGATGGTTTTACGGATTCTTCAGTTTTAGTTTGTTATTATCATCATAGCTGTCATCGATCCGGTCGAACCTCTCTGTTGATGGTAACATATTAGATTCAGAGTGTTTGTAGATCCATTTGTACTAGACAGTCCATTTGTTCGCATGTTATATCCTTTCTTGTGAGATTCATCGGCTCAATGCTTTACACTGGTAATATCTACCTAGCTGATGATTTTTACTTACATCTATGTGCATTGTACTTGTCAACATAAAATCAATCACTACCTACAAGCTTTACAGTCCGTAACAGCCGATTTCTGCGCGTATCGGCTATTTAGTCGATTTTCCCGTCTGGCTGCTCCTGAAGCGGCACACTTGGAATTGTCTGGGCAAAACCGGCATGTTCCACCTTAAATTACTGATAAACTTTCTCTCCTTGTCAATTGCAGGTCAAATTGACTGGCACGCCTCAGGAGGAATTCGTAGGATCGACTGGTCCTGCGTTGAAGCCAAGCGGATCTCCGGGCTCATCCTAAGCAGATCCTTCCGGCTTGCTGTGTGCCAGGCGCATCGACACGGTTTTGCGCTGATAATGGTTAATTATTTTTGCTATTCATTATTCATGTTTACCTAATCATGTGTTTTTATGGGCTTGTGATAAACTTGTTGCTACTCAATTGCTAAAATCAAGACTCATTAAAAGCTAATCGCAGTTGAACCAGTGTCAGCCTTTTGAGCCTTATGAACCCCATGTTATATTTGTTGAGTACGACATGTACTTACACTTGCTTTATTTTTCAAATATTTAGATAAAACCCCGGATGGGTACCAGATTGCTAGAGTTTGAAGGAATTAGGCTTGTGATTAACTAGTCAGTTGTCCCTATGAAATTAGAGTCTTCACCCGAAGATCAAAGTTGTCTTTTCGTTGTTTGTTGTCTAAGGTTATATCCTTTATACTAAGTACGTTATATATTGAGCATTGTCTTTCGATATTACCCTTATTTGTAGCTATATGTGAGATTTGACTCTCTAGGCTCACATATGGTGTGTATCTGGTTTTGTTCTTAAAACCGAGTGCTACTCACAGTTGTCCTATACCAAATTACATCATACTGAGCTAAAGCTAGAGCCATGTAGCCCTCACAGTTGTACTGTAAGTCCCGGATGTTCGCTTACAAATAAGTCCTTAGGGAGAGAAATCTAGAGCACCATAAAAATAGCCCAATGCTCGAGCCCCTTATTCCATGTGCTAAAAACATCTTTTAGTGTTTATTGCATATACCATTAGTCGAGTTACAAGGTCATGGCTTTAGTTGAGCACTAACATCATATTGCCCAATGCATAAACCCATAGGAACAAGATACAAGGTAACAAAGTACTAGGAAATCCTTATTGGTAGTCAAGGTAAACACATGCAACATGAATTAAATGATTAAAGGTGTATAGGACAATAAGGATGATCACATGCTATACTTGCCTTAAACTCATATCCTTCTTCTACTGAATTATAACCTCCAAAGGACTTCTTCTGGATCATCAACTTCTTCTATATCACCAACGCAAAGCTCAACGACCGGACATGATCATAAAGCACTATAAGCATCTATGCGATCATACACAAAGCAAACAATAGAACTAAATTAGAACAATACACCAAACATAATTAAATAGCAAGTAAAAAGGTTTTAAAGAGGTTCTACACGAACACTCTAATCGGAGCTATAACGAAGAAGTTATGAATTAAACAAGATTTCCTTTAATAAAATAATAGATTAAATCTAACCTCAAATTTTAAATGTTGAAAACATACTTAACAGAAGTATAAACATATAGATTATGCAATTACGAATCTAACGCAACTTGAACGGATCAAATCAGAGTTAAAATGGAGAAGTTATGGCATAAAGAAAATAGTAGCAAAACTATAAATAGGTGAAAACGTATTTGAATCTACTAGAAAGAAACTACGCTTTCAGAAAGAGAAAACATATTCCAGAAACACACTATGGACTGTAGGTTCTATTACGCAAAACTGCAGGGACTCTTATGCAAAGTGATCGGTCGAACCCGTACGGGTGAATTTGGGCTGTCGGATCAAGATTGAACGGCTACAAACAGACGGGAGGGAGGGAGAGGGAGAGAGACGTCGGCGAAAGCTCTTATGGTGGTGCCATGGCCGGAGGTGCTCGGCTCCTCGCCGGCGATCGTCGATACAATGATTAAGGCCATCACTGGACACGGGAAGACCACGGAGAGAGAGAGGACGACAAGGCGAACTCACCAAGGTAGGTCTTAGCGACGTGGAGTGTATGGAGGTGGCGCGCGACGCGGAGGGGCAGACGATGAGCATGGCGGCAGCGGCTAGGGTTTCACAGCGGCAACGGCGGTAGCTAGGGCATGGGGCGGCTGTGCACGGGGCAATATGGAGATAGCGGGTGCTCGGGTTCGATATTTAACGGGTGAAGCAACTTGGAGCACATGGCACGATGTGGTGGCGGGATGGCAGCGGACTCCGGTAGCGGTAGAGTCCATGGAGGGGATGACGGAGGTAGGAGACGACTGACCAGTGGGTCCCTAATGACAGTGACTCAAGCGGGAGGGAGGAGAGCGCGGACGACTCGGCTGCTTGCTGGGTCGGCCCAAGGCAGAAACGCGACGAAGGGGAAAGGAAAGAGTGGACCAGCGGGCGAGAGGGCCAAGTGGGAGGTGGGCCGTAGCTTGCTGGGCTTCGGCTCTAGACTGAGGAGAAAGGAAGCGGGAGCATGCCTTTGGGCCAGGAAGGAAGGGGAGGGAAATTTTCTTTTTTTATTTTTAAACAAATTTTCAAAACCAAATTCAAATCAGATTCAAATTCTTTTGAAATTTTGATCAAACCTAATCACCACAAAATAAATATGCAGTAGCATGTATGCACAAACATATTTCTACCTTATGATAAATTTTAAATTAATGAAATTTTTTATTTTTTTATGTTTTCATGAGCACAAAAATTCCAAATGAAATCATTTTAGCTCTATTTCCAAAAAAATCAAATTTTAGGGTGTTACACTTTAGTCCATATATTATTAATCCCTAATTTTCATAGCCAATGTTAGCTACTCTTTGTTGGATTAATTATAAAGGGAAAACGGTGTTTTTGCCCATGTCCAGAGGTTCAATTGCGATTTTACCTCTGTTTTTTCAACTTTGTGATTTTACCCCTGTTATTTTGAAACGAAGGAGCCGTTTGCCCCTGGTTTGGATGTCCGTTATTTAGAGGCTGATTAAACGATTTAAAAAAAACAAAACACATAAATCAGATGTGAAATGACTGGAATGCCCCTTCCTCTTTATTCTTATCCGCTCGTTCTCGCCGGCTTCGCCCACCGAGGCCCGCGCCGGCCTCCCCAGCCGCCTTTCTTCCCGCCGCAGACGCTACCGGCCACGAACGCGAGCGCCTCGTCGGCCGTGTACCACGGCCGGCCGTTGACGCCCCTCAGGAACAGCATCGCCGCGAGCACTCCGCCTGCGCCGGCGCCCGCCGAGAGGTCGAAGAAGTCGGCCACGCGAGCGTCGGTGTCGCCCTTGTGGTCGCGCAGCCTGGCCTCGAGCCTCGCGAGCGCGGCGGCGGCCAGGAGCGCGTCCTCGGCGCCCGTGCCGCCGCAGCCGTCGATCGCCAGCACCCGCACGCGCCCGCCGTCCAGAAGCGCCCGCGCCGGCGCCGAAGAGGAACTTGCTCTCGAGCAGGGAGAAGATCTCGTAGCTGAGCTTGTCCACGCTACCCATGGCGGCTTTCGTGGGCATCGGCGACGCCATTGCCGCGTACGCTTCCATCTCAAGCAGCAAAGACAAGGGTGGGAACACGTAGCTTGGCTGGCAGAGTAATTGGAGCTCGAGATAGCTCATGATGTGTGAGAGTGAGACTGCGACTGCTGCTGCGATCGACGCGTCCTAGTCCGTTCTACCTCGAGGCCTTTTATAATGGCGGGAGCAGGCAGGCTGTCGCTCCCCTCCCCCGCACTGCACGACGTGGCCGCGGCGCGCACGCTCTGCCATCCGTGAAGGGCTGCGCCGGATAGGACAGCTAGCGTCCTGGGCGTCAGGAGTCTGGATCGGTGGGTGGCACGGGGCCAGGCGACGGGAAGGTGGCAGGAAGCGCCGAACGTTGTGCTCCGCTGGATCGGATCGCATGGGTGGGCACCTGGGCATGGGTGTGGCCGTGTGGGCGTGGTAGGCCTCGCTCACCGCGCGCACGCACGGACGGACATACCCGACGACGAAGCTTCCGCTTCCGCTTTCGCAGTCCGCAGCACAAAGCCGCGGCGCGCACACGTGGCCCCGATGCCACGCTGTCGGCGCGGGCTCCGGCTGTCATGGAGACGGAGCACCCAGCGGCGCGTGCGGGCGGCATGCCGGCGCTCCCTGGATGGCGAGAGAGACAGCGGCAGGCCTGGCCGTGATCGTGCGTGTGAGGGCCTTGACTCTTGAGCCTTGCCGGGGTCACGGCGGGCGCGGCGTGGCGTCTGTAGTCCGTACACTATGCGGTTAATGCAGCGGGGCTTGTTGTACCTCATGTGCAGCGGGGCACCCGCCTTTGGTTCTTCTCCCCCACCTCTGGTTCTTCTAGGCACGGGAGTGTACGTCTGCAACGGCGCCAATCCCTGCTTCGAGCCGGCGGCAGGGAACCACCTGTTCGATGGCGACGGCATGGTGCACGCGGTCCGCATCCGGAACGGCGCCGCGGAGTCCTACGCCTGCTGGTTCACCAAGACGGCGCGGCTCCGGCAGGAGCGCGCCCTGGGAAGGGCCGTCTTCCCCAAGGCCATCGGCGAGCTGCACGGCCACTCCGGCATCGTGCGCCTGGCGCTCTTCTACGCGCGCGGACTCTGTGGCCTCGTCGACCCGTCCCGTGGCATGGGTGTGGCCAACGCGGGGCTCGTCTACTTCAACTGCCGACTCCTCACCATGTCTGAGGACGACCTCCCGTACCAGGTGCGCGTCACCGCCGATGGCGACCTCCGCACCATGGGGCGGTACGACTTCGATGGGCAGCTCGCCGGGTGCGCGTCCATGATCGCGCACCTGAAGCTGGACCCGGTGTCCGACGAGCTGTTCGCGCTCAGCTACGACGTCCACTGTCCCGTGTCCCCTACGGCTTCCATGGCACTTTCATCGGCGAACGGGAGCTGGAGGCCCAGGCCTGATGATGACCCTGCGCCCCAGCGGCTAGGCCCCAACACCACATCTCCGGTGGCCACGCCATGGCCGGACGGTCGACCCCGCGCCGCGCGCAACCGAGCCTCGGCCAGACAGGGGCAAAATCACAATTAGGCATAAAAACAAGGGGCAAAATCGCATGGGCATTCATGTCTTTTGTACAAAGTATAACACCGTTAGGGGTGGATGACGGAGCAGGGGCAAACTGGTACTTCGTGAATGGCACAGTAGGGATAAATTCACAAAGTCAAAAAAATAAAGGTAAAATCACAATTTCGATACAAAACAAGGGTACAAATGCAAGAGCCCCAATTATAAATGCCAGCCAAATTGGCCGGTTCTAAGTTAGGTATCCTGTAAATTTAGAATTTATCTTAATCAATAGCGTGTATGATGACAAAACAGTGTTGGGATACTATCAATAGACTAGTCTCACTGTTGGCATCCTCACATGGAATTTGCTATGATGGATGATGTGGATGACATGACCCACAAATATAATCACAAAGGACATATCCAACCCCATAAGCAGGTGGTCAAATCGACCACTCCAGTTCTGGTTCCTAGCTAGGGGTTCATCATCAACTTGCTATACAAAGTTAGGCAGAAACTTTTTCTTGCGAGACCCAGTTAACATAGATGCTCACATACACGAGTGTACACTCACCTCTATGAACGTACGCACGCACACCCTATCTCTATGAGCACCTTCGAAGAACTGAGTTGAACCAGCAAATCTCAAGATTGATGAAGTCACCATAGATGCCTCGCTGTCGACGGGTAGGTCTCCTACCACTGAAAGAATAACGTCTTTAAATCCTAGAATAAATCCAGGAAAATGCGAACACCCGTGTCTAAGTCGGTGACTTGAATCCAGGTGGGTAGGTTCCACCACATGGAACCCACAACCAGCTGAGCTTTATCCCACATGAAATGAGATTTAGTTGTAACAAAGTAGAAAACATATCTGTAAATGTGATCCTAGGTGGCACCAATTTATAACCCAACTCCTCGACTATATAAGGCAGTAAGCAGTGTCACAAAGTTCCTGGTATGAAGGGTGTATGAGGAACACAGTACGTGGGACGAGGATCAACAATTTTATGTTCCTGGTTCATAGAGGGGTATACCTCTTCAGTATGATCGGTTCGTGGAAGAGAACGTGATCCCTAAATAGTTAGAACAATATATATAGAACATAAGTATGAACAAGGATCATGATTATCAATAAAATAATTTATAAATCAATCATAAGTAGTACAAGATGATTATCGGTACTTATTTATGTAAATGGGTACCGATAATCATATTGTACTACTTATGATTGATTTATGAATTATGAATTATTTATGTAGGCTAGAATTGATACAAAAACATGAATCCATTCTAGCCTACAATGTCTAGGCTGCAGACCCATTGGACTGTGGCGTTAGGTCTCCAGCAGACAACAATAAAACTCTTCGTCTGATGGAATCAGAGACTCGGTCACAGTCTCACAAAGGGAGTGTTTCGCCGCCGTTCGGCCTCAGTGCCGTGCTGCCTTCCACCCCAATGCAACCGCTGGTCCCAGCACCACACTGCCACTCTCAGTGGCAACACTATGTTGCCGAACGCAAGTTTCCCACGGTTGCTGAGTGCCTTCTTCCACATGATAGGAAAAGCACCTAGTAAGTTTCTTCACTGGATTACGAAATGGTGATTTAGAATTCTGTGTGCCGTCTTCATCCTCCTCGAGGGTCCGGTCATGTTCTCTCATACATCGTCCCAACTCATGTACCTAGCACTGATCCATAGTCATACCACGTCGTCCCCGATCCATAATCTGGAACAATGTTCCTGGGACGCTAAGCGCCTCTATGATCCACGACCCTTGTGATTGTGGCGGTATGGAGCCCTCAGATTAGTATTATCATCATACTCATTGTGTGCAATTCTTAAAGAACCTATGAGCATAAAAGTGGCCGAATTGGATGTCTAATTCAAACTTACAACCTAGTGAACAATTTAAACTACCACTAGAAAAATAAAAAACTACCCTAGCTCACCCAAAAAGGAGCTTTGCAACATAAATCCGAACTTATCAACACTATACCGCACACCTAAAGTAGCATCAGATATTAGTCGCTAAAAGTAGAAGATTACAAGTGAACTATTTGTCGATATAAATTTCTAAAAGATCATCAATCGGTATTTCAGGTTGTACTCACTCCCCGACGGTCAGTATGTATAGTTTACCAATGAACCATTGGTAGTAAAGCCTTGCTTTCATTTGGCACGCTCATCTCAGCCCATCCCACTCAGCGCCCAAAATTATTGGATGGCCCACCAATCAAGTGTACTATGTGTTGTAACCCTAGCTCAACTTTCAAGACATTATTTCTATCGCTACCCACACTTGCCTAGCGGCAGGCGTGTCATCCCATCTACTATCTCCGCTCATTGTCAAATGGAGTGTACCAGGTTTTGTGTAATACAAAAACACTAACTTTTTGAAACTTTCGCTTGATGTGTGTTACATGTAGTTGATAGGTCAAATCTAATCCATCTCTTCTCTTCTTGACACAATTTCAAAATTGCAACTTCAAAACTTTTGGTGATAACTCCTTTGTTAGGATGTTGACCAAGTAAACACCATGACAAAGGTATTTTCAAGGGAATATTTTTATACTAATTATACTTTTTGCAAGGGACTCATTTTATGTTTTTCATCCATATTCATATTTTGACTTGGTATGGCACCTTTGTATATTTTAAATATGTAATTAGTTTGAAATCTTGGCATTAATTATGGTGGCCCTTGCTGCATTGCATATCTTATGAAGTCATGAATGAATCTAGATTTTGTTTTCTCAAATTATATACTTATTGACTGTTACAAAAAAATATCCTTAAGTTAAAACTCTTGTGCTTATTGTATCTTTTATTAACTCTCCTTTTTGTACTTAATTTCTAAAAATATGGATTTAGGTCATAGAGTACGTTCTTAAATACTACAATTACATAATCATGTCACTTAAGATAAGAGATAGAGCTTGACGTGAGATCTCGGATGGGGGTAGCAATGCTAACCTCAAGAGAATTTTAATATTTATATTGTATAATGATCGGAGTTATACTCTAAAGTAATCTTAAAGTTATACTCTAAAGAAAATATAGCCACCAATGCTCCCCCATACTTGTCATGATGATTGAATTTTCCTATATCAAGAAATTATAGGTGCAGGTATGGTTATATACTATCAATATAGATGTGTCAAATATTTATTTAAAGTATATAAATATATCTATAGTAATAACCTATGTAAATTATATGCTATCGCTACTAATATGGTTTTAAATAATTTGTTAGTATCATTAGTATATGAGTTGTTAAGGGAATATTTTTTGTGATGAAACATAACACATTTATTTATCACTCATGCATGATGGCACAACATGTATGCTTAGAAGATGTTGATAATTTTTAGATGTAGATTTGAGAGAATACTTAATTTTCAAATAATTAGATAAAAATTGGGTTACGTAAGTTATCTATCATAATAAGAGTACATGGGTAATTAGATGCAAATTTAGGTATACTTTAGATCATGTTTCTTAATGGCGGCGTATGTGGGTAGTTTAAATATAGAGTCATGTGCTACTTTATGTTGTTTTTTGTAGAGATGGGTAATTATTTAGAAAATAGAATACATCTAGTAGCTATTATTGGCAACAATTATTAGGTTATACCAAATTGATTGTCAAATATTTCAAAATTTTGTGAGAATTTCTAGCTAGGATATATATTTTCTTTCCTATCGTGTCTCATGAGGATTAATGTGGAGGCTCTATTAGGGACCTCTAGTTAGAAATTCTAGTATTTATAAGTGTGGAGCATTAACGTGGAGGCTCTATTTAGTTGAAATCTAATATTAAAATATATAAACTCTAGTTGCACCTTTCTATGACTTCATGAATCATAGTTAGCTTTCGAGTTTTAACCAAGTTGTGCAACTATTTTCACAAGTTAAGTACAAACTCTATTGTTTTTCATCTTTTATTCAAAAGTTACTTTTTATTAAAAAAGAGTTTAAGTCCTAGTAGTATTCTTTTACACATTTTAATTAGGTTGGAACTTTAATTGCACATTGGCACTATTGTTGAATTGTTATGTCACAGAATTATGTGTGTAGCATTGTTTTATATGTCATAGAGTGCTCAAAATTAAATTACAAATACTGATATGACATTATGTTTCACTTAAAATATATAAACTTACTTAAAATAACAACTTATGAAATTGATTATCATGTAGTATTAATATAATTTAAAGTGAATTGCCTGTTATGTTATTGCTATGTGGTTTGTCAATGAAACATTTTCCATGCTTCATAAGCTATTAAAATAAATATGTATCTTAATATATATATATATGTTTACTTGGTATACATAGTGAAACATAGCATTATGATTATTTAATTTCATGATTGTAGAAGTTTATAATTTAGAAATATATATGTCTCATACTTTATGTATATCAATTTTGTAGTAACATATATTAGTATTTAAATGTAGGTTTGAGAGATATTTTTGTTTATTTTTTATAATGGCCGAGGTAGATACAAATATAAAGGCAATACTTTATATTATCTTTCATAATAACATATATGGGTAGGTTGTAAATTTAAGAGATTATTTTGTATTATATTTTATAGTTACAAAGGTGCGTAATCTATAAATCATTATGGTGTATTTTAAATTATCTTCCATAATGCCAGATATGGTTAATCTAGATACAAAGTTAGAAGCTTATTTGAAATTATATTTTATACTAGCAAAGGTGGGTAATTTAGATGAAATGTGAGGGGGTTCTTTTGAATTATGTTTCATAATGGCGCGCAAAGTGGGTAGTTTAGATACAAATTTAGGGGGCTATTTTGATTTACTTTTTATAATGACATGTAGGTAATTTATACAAATCTAGGGTGTTATTTTGAATTATCTTTAATAATTGCAAAGGTCGGTAACTTAGATACAAAATTAGGGGTTACTTTATGTATTTTCATAATAGCAGCGGTGGGATTTTTTTTTACAAATTATAATACATATGATGGCTACTATCGGGGATGATGGTTAAAGTCTACCAAAATTAAAAGTCAAATGTTTTTTATTATTGTAATAATGTCTAGAATTTATCTTTTTTCCTAGCACGTTTGGTGAGAGAATTAACATGACGTCTCCGTTTGGGTCTCGAAGTAGTAATAGTAAGATTATTAGATTGCAGTCAAATAAGCCATAAGCTATATATGAGTGAAATTACAAGGTATAAGGGATAGAAGCACTGTGCCATCACCCTCTGAAACTGGGCACAAGCACAACCGCAAAGTAAGATTCTTCAGGACGCACGCCCTAGGCCCTAATAATAAAACCGGCCGGTCGCTAGAGTATGTATGTACATGTCGGCTGCTCCAATCTAGATCACTACATAAATTCTAGGTCTACACTGCTAGTGGTAGCAGTATGTTGTGACTGATCTATATATACTAGTCATGAACATGTGCATTGAACGGTCTTAGCTTGCAGTTGTACCTGGACTGCTAAGTGATCAAGCATATGCATCATGTCAACGCCTGCTACGAACGAATAATGGTCCTCGGTTGTCGTTTTATTGTAGCTGCTCTCTTCGGTTGCAAAAGTCTCCGTGGCCCAGTAGCCTACTTCAAAGCAAGGCAGCCAGGCAGGCATGGAATTTCTGTTTATCATTTTTTTAGATTATACACCGCAAAGCAAATTAAACGCGCGTAAACCCCATCCCTACGAGCATCTTCGAAAACTGAGCAGGCAAATCCTCAAGACAAGATTGACGAGGCCACCACAAGTGCCTCGCTGTCGACAGGAACGTCGCCTGCTACTGAAAACACAAAGTTCGCGTAAACCCAAGGATAAAAAAGGCGACGCCTCCTCCCCGCCTAGGCGCGCCTAATCGCTGGGCGATGGGGTCCCGCCTGGCTTATGGGGGTAGGCGGACCCCTAGGCGCTCCCATCCCCGCCAGACGCCCTCCTCCCCGTTGGGCGCGCTCCTCCCCGCCGGACGCCCGCCTCCCCATCGGGCGCGCTCCTCCCCGCCGGACGCCCCTCCCGCCGGGCGCGCTCCTCCCGCCGGACGCGCCCCTCCCACCGGTCAGTCCCCTCCCCGCCAGTCTCCTCCCTAAACGGCAGCAGCCAGCAGGTCAGCCTGTCCTCCCCTGCTCATCTCCTCTGTTTTCTTTGAACTTTGAAGTGGTCTGAATGACTGAATCTGATGCCTCTGAATGACTGAATCTGAAGCCTGCTCCTCTCCTCTGTTATTTGACTGAATCCTTTGATGGCTGCATGTATGTATCTGTGATTGCCTGAACTC